TCGGCGGCGGCGCGCCGCGTGCACAGCCGGCGCTCGTTCCAGCGGCCCCGCGCGCGCCGCCGCCCCGCGCTGCTCAAGCTCGCGTCGCTGCCGCCCTCGTGCCACGCGCCGCCGCACGCGCTGGAGCAGGAGGAGACGCCGCTGTGACCGGAGGCGCCTCCCGCCGTCCCCGCCCGCCCCCCGCCCCGGGGGTCCTCCCGCGTCTGCCCCCAGGCCTGCAGGGGCTGCGGCCCAGCCTCCCGGGCTTCGGACGTTGGGCAGGCGCTCCCCCTGGGGTCCGCCTGTCCCCGTTTGGAACCGAGCCGCACCGGGTGTTGCCGCGACTCAGCGCAGCAGCGAGGGTCCCGGGGCCGGGCGCCTGCACCTCGTGCCCGTTCGTCATCACTGCCGGGGACGGCGAGGCGCACACGAAGTGAGACTTGCCTAGCGCGACACCAACTGACGGTTCCACTCTCCCCAAACCCCCTCCGGGGATGTCAGGGGCGAGCCTGGGTCTTGCACATGCTGGGCCACGAGAACTCAGGGTCCCGACCCCTCTGCACAATCGGCCCCGCCTGGCGTCTCCGCGTCCACTTACCAGTTCCGTGAACTGCCTGTCACCGCAGGGACTGTAGCTGAAGCTGCAGGAATCTTTCGTTTGCCCGTCATTTTTGGGTTTGAACTCTAGAGCCCAGCACTTGTTTTTCTCCCCAAGCCAGGCCCTGCATGTGCCCAAGCCTAGGGTGGTGGCCCCTGGGCACCGGTCACTGCCCCGTCCCCAAAGACAAGGTTTCTGGGCTGAGCTATGCCACCTGCTGCTGAGGTCGCCCCAGACAGCCCAGGCTGGGCCAGGGGGCCTGCAGGGGTGGGGAACTCGGCGGCAGCTCCGTCAGAGTCGGCCAGTGCTTAAGGCCCCTTAACCACAGCAGGGGAGAGCCCGGGGACAGGAGGGGCTCACCGCCCCCCAGGGAGGACTTGGCTGAGACCTGGGCCTGTTGTGGGCCCTGGACCCTCCAACCCATGCCAGGTCTCAGGGACAAGCCTTGGACAGGGTGCCCGTCCTCTGGGGTGACACCACTGGGGGGCTGTTCTGGGGGGCGGTCCAGCGCGGGGCTGAGTCTAGCCCCCCTGCCACTGTCCGCTCCTCAGACACGGTCCCGAGGGGTCGACCTGTGGTTCCCTTCCAGCCTGCCTGCACTTAGGGTTTTGTTTGAGGACAGTGGGCTGAGGACACTCCTAGAATCTTTCCTAAAACAGGCCAGACTCACAGCTCCTTGCTCAGGAAAACAAAGCTATTCATGTCTTACGATCAAGTTTTGGCAGTTGATGTTCTCAAAGCAGTCATAGGTAAAAAGGAGTTCTTCGCGGTTTGCGTTGTTTTAATATTGCACGTTGGTGGGAAAGGCCTACGATTTCCTGTTCGTAGCTGCACTGTTGAGAAGAACAAGTGAAAACGAGAGGCACTCTTGAGCGTACTCACCCACACAGCCACCTCTCTGGCGCCTGCCTCAGAGGAGGTGTCCCCGACTGGGGTCCCTCTCCTCTTCCCGCTCCAGAGCCGGCGGTGGCTCTTGGTTTTCAGTAGTCATTCTCCACGCTCTGCAGCCATTTTAACCCACTCTGAGCACAGAACGCAGCACTGTCTGCGAGACAGCCTGCCCAGTCGGCAACCCGCCCCGCCCCGGACTCCCCGGGCCAGCTCCGTGCCGAGCCGCGGCCCCGCGGTCAGGTCCTGCCAGGTGCCGGCGGGTGCTGCGAGAGGCCCACGGCAGGCCCGTCTGCCCTGCTGCGGGGAGCGAGGCCGCGGCCTTCCAGCTTCCTGCTCCTGCCTGGCGGCAGAACAGACGACTCTGTCCAGCGGCCACAGCACAGTGGCCGGCATCCCCAGCTGGCTGACCCCTCGCCTGGACGACTGGGCCCTGGATCCGATTCCTGGCTGCAGAGTCAGAACCTGAGTCCAGAAAACCTCTCGGGCATTTCCGGTCACTGCATCAGATGCCCAGAGGAACGGAAGTCAGCGGAGAGCAAGGCAGTGAGCGCCACGTGGGGCTGTCTGCCGGGCACCTCGCCCGGCTGGTCGCTGGTGGCGAGCGGGGTCCCCCGTGCTCATGAGACCCGCACGGGCGAGGCGCAGACGAGACGGAACCAGAGTTCCCGCGAAGGGAGCCGACTCCCAGAACCCCCATTTGACGGCTCTGGAGGACACGGCGTTAGAACCTGAGCACTGTGGGTGCGTTTCATACGTGAGAATTTTCTTGCTGTCCTCGTTACTATTATAAACTGAATGTAAACAAAGTCTTGTGAATGTATTTCCTTAAGAAAACTGCTGTAAACATTTTTATTAGGAAAGAATATTTAATATTGAACTTTGGCCCATTTTGTGGTAGACTATAAAGAACACAAATTTAGGAAATCACCATTTCTCACTTCTGTATTTTCTGAAAAATAATTTTGTTACTGTGTTTGATACGCCGTGTATTACTGATCTATTGTGAAAGGAAACGTAAAGGATTTCACCCAAACTCGAAATGTATTTTAAGTTATGAGTGTGAAACTGCGTGTTAGTTTTGTGAATGTAATCTCAGCCACGTGTTGTGATCCCCGTCACAAGACGATGTGCCTTAACACGCCCTCCCCGCGTGCCTGGCAGCGTCCACACGGGGCCGCGTCCCCCTCAACGACTGCCTGACCGATTCTATTAAAACATTTTGAGGCATTTTGGGTACAAAGTTTGTCTGCACGTGAGTCTCCGGGAGGCAGACGCCGCCCTGCTCTGGCGCCAACGTGTGCACAGATGTGTGTGCGACACACGGCCTTTCCGAGCTGGGCGAGGACCCGGCTGGACACACGGTGGGGCAGTGCCCGGCACCGGCACAGCGGGCAGAGCGAGCCCTCCTGGACAGAGGCAGAGAACAGGGCCCAGGGAGGCCCACCCGGCCTGCGCAGGAAGCTGAGGGCCCAAAGGGGTGGCGTGGGCAGGAGGGAGCTGGGCAGGCCTGGCAGGGCCCAGAGCCGGGCCCCACCCAGCGGGAGCGGCGGAAGCCCCTGCGCGGATGGGGGCATCGCCCAGAGCTCCCCCTGGACAGGAAGAAACCCCCAAGCACTGGGGATCCGTGTTTTGGGGTGTGCTCGTGACAGCAGCCCAGACTGCGGTCGGCAGGCGCGGGGCACAGCAGGCTCAGGTGAGGGTGGCTGGGGGGGCCGTGAGCAGCAACGGACGGGCAGATGCTCCTCGGTCCTACCTGCCACACAGACCAAACCCTGGGCCCCTTCCTCTCTTTCTGGGAGCCCAGTGAGCGAAGTGCAGAGTCAAGGAACCGTCCTAACGTGAACTGAGCGGGGCCCGAGGCCGGGGGCGTGCCCCACCCTGCAGTCCTGCCTGTGGTCTGGGCGCCCGCTGCCCTCCCCAGGCCCTGACACAGACGTCCTCTACCGAGAGGCTTGGGGACAACCCTCCCTGGCGCTGGGCTGGACCCCCCTCCACGCGCTGGGACGCCGCCCCTCCCAGAGCCACCCCACACTTCCCGCACATCCCGGCCACGTCCTGCCACCACTGTGGACGTCCCTAAGGGGTGCGGCCAGCGACACGGGGCCTGTGGTTCCCACGAGACAACCAGCAAAAGCCCCTGTGAGGACAAGACGTGCCGTCTGGGTGAACTGTCATTATCTGAATCGTCACTCTGGACGTTCATTCAGAAGGAACCTGGAGGGAGAACTCTCTTAGTGGGAGAATAATGCACTTTCATTATTATAAGGGGCAATGATTAGTGACCGTTAACACTGTGGGCTTTATTGATTCAATATATATTTATTGAGCACTTACTATATGCCACACATATTCAAGGCAATATCGTTAAGTAGGGAACTAGATTAACATGTACATTAGGAGACAGCACATTAAGTATCTGTAGAAAGACCACATCTCTTCTTAGCCAATAATACGACAACTGTTATCTAATTTTTATTTACTTAACTCTATTCAGGCTTTTTTGAGGGTGTCTGCACCTCCCCCACCCCATTTGCTCAGGGGAGCCCCGCACAGGAACCGGGCCAGTCACTGCAGTGGGCGTCTACACCCACCACCTGCCTCCCACGGGATGGTCACGGCTCCTCCGTGGATTCCGGGGCAAAAGCCTGTTCCTGCCTGAACACAGCACTGGGCTTCCGCTCTTCCGCCACGAACACACAACATTCCGGATCCCTCGGACTTCTGAAGCTTCCGACCTGACCTGGCTTCTGTCCCTTACTGCTCCCTGCTGCCTCCTTCCTTTCTCGCGGAGCAGGTGCAATTCCTGGACCTTAGATGCTGCCGACGGTGGAGTCTTCTGTCTCCCACACTTCTCCAGACCTAGTTCCCCACCTCTTCCCTGTGTCCCTGCTCACGTTGGCCTCGGCTGTGCCCCCGACGCTCCCCACCTCTTGTTCTGGGAGCCGGGTCGGCCCCTGGGCAGCAGATCTCACTCTGCAAGGAACCACCCCCACCTCCAGCGGAGAGGCGGAACCAAGCCCGATGCCTTCTTTTCCGGCAGTTCCGCCAAACTCGATTTGCCCGGCACCCCTTTCACGCCCAGCCAGTTCCGATTTGCGGGGCAGCCAGATCGTGAACGACAATGAGAAAAGGGCGCACACTGGTCTTTCTACAGAGACGGACCCCAGGGCCAGTGTGGCTGTGGGGTTTGTTGCTGGGTTTTGTTACAGTTTGGATTTTTTTGGCAGAAGAGGGGGAGACAGGGTGGTTGTCTACGCGTCCCCACAGATAATCCACCCAACTCTTAGTAAACTGGCCCCTTCTCACAATCCAGTCTCCTGGACATGGAAGCCCCCACCCCACCCCCAGCCCAGCGCCGCGCTGGCCGCGGCCATGGAGCCTCCGCACGTCCTGCTCTGGCGTGAGACAGACGCTGACTGTCAGCGGAACTGAGTCCCTCCGACATGCCCAGGTGGAGAAGGCCCCCGCCCTGGGTCCCCTACAGGGCCCTGCGTCGGCCGTGGCTGCACCCCCGCGGGTGGTGGCCCGCACCGCAGAGCGGCAACTTGCGGCTTTTTCTTCCTACAGCTCTGGGCTGTAATTGGATTCAGGCTTAAACAGCCATGTCCCCTGCCAGGAAAAAACTCTAGGTTTTGAGTCTTTCAAGAAACAGTCCTATTTGTGAATTTTTCACATCCTGTGAGGATGAAATAAAAGCCAAATGTCAACCTTGCCATCTTGAAGATGTCTTGAGAGAAGACGAAGTGCATGTCCACACAGGGCTCGACGCCCCCCCTCCGATCCAGCGAGGCCCTGGGCCCCGAGAGTGGGGACGACCTGTGCACACAGGAGAGCCGGGGCAGAGAGGTCAGCGCCCTGTGCCACAGGCTGCCCGGAGACGGGCGTGAGCAGGGGCCGCAGGACACGTGGGCGCTGCTCATTCTGGGCGTAACTCTCGCCAGCAGCTTCCTGTGAAATGAGAGATGAAGGCGCAAAACGATGCTGCCGCGGAAGGCAGCAGCTGCACAGACGGCCGAGTTGCAGGAAAGCGTTTAAGGGATTCTGGGTCAACAATATGCACGACCCGCAGATCTCGAAACGTATTCCCAACAAACATTCGCTTTCACACACGCTTTCACGGAATCGACACTCACGCCGGGGCTGGTCCGCCACGCAGACGACCGGCCGGCACTGCCCAGCGCCAGAGGCCTGTGGCCCGGGGAGGTGTGCGCAGCTGGCGGGTTTCCCGCCTGTCCGGGCTGAGGAGGGAGCCCAGGGGCAGCCGGGCAGGACGGGCGAAGCCAGGATGGCACAGGACAGGGCCTGCCCCGCCGGGCTGAGGGACAGTTTTCAGTTCCATAGCTGACGACCTACGAGCAGTTTCTGGGCACTGCCAGATCGTCACTGGTCAGAAAACCTCACTGCAGAAGAGAAACCACCTCGCACGCGCCTCTCTGGGGAGGGTGAGACTTTAACGACAGCAGGCGTCAGGGTGTCTGTGCAGGCAGGACTGCGCCTGCTCCCTCCCCGGCAGCCACGGGGGCTTGACAGCAGAATCCTGCTCTCAAAGGACTGTCAAACAAAGATGAGGGAGCCTCTGGCACCACGGCCACCAGGATGTCACTCCACGCACACCTCGGACAACACGTTCTGGTGCCAGAAGAGACAGGCGCAAGGAAGCGGGACCCTCGTGCGTGGCGCCTGGAGAGCGACTCCCTCGGGGCTGGGCAGACGCCTACTTGAGCAGCTTGGCCACGTTCAGACTGGGCACCGCAATGTCCCTGAAGAGCGGCACGTAGCTGGGACTCGCCTGGGTGGCGCCCTGCTCCAGGGTCTCGACGATGGTCTGCTTCATGTCCCGGCTGGCGTCCCCGCGCACGGCCAGCAGTGCGCCGATGTGCTCCTCTCTGGGGGGGG